TAAAATTAAAATTAAAATTAAAATTAAAATTTATTTTTATATAATTTAATAAAAAAACACATTAATTATTTTTTTAACTTATACATTATGATACAAACTAAAAAAACCAATAGAAAATGATGCACTAACCTATTCCCCAGGGAAGCACGCAAATTAATGATGATTTCGTCTTCTTCTGAAGATATGTTTCCCCTCTTCAAATCATCTCTCAAGTAATTAATCCATCTCAGTCTGCAACTTTTTCCACACCTCAGTAACCCTTCACAACATATCAATCAAATTAGCGAGACAAAATCCCAAAAAATAAAAGAGGGGGAGGAGAGGAAGTAAGCATGTGTGTATATCTAACATTGTTTGTTGTGTGTACGTTGTAATACTTACCAGCATTTTTAGGTAATGATCTCCATGAGCCTTCACCATTTTCTTCAATATACTTCCTTAATATCTCATCCTCCTCGGCCGTCCACCGCCCCTTCTTCAGCCCCACCTTCTCACAACACGGTGCTCTCCCCATTTTTCTGCCGCCTGAGATGATGATGGTTTGACTGACAGAAGCTCGTTAGCTTTAGTTTTCCAGTAAAAAACCTCGCACTTTAAATAGAGAAAAAGGAATCATGTCAGTGTGGGTCCGCCGATGGGGATGCACCCATGGTGAGAAGTGGTGCCACGCCTGCCTAGTCGTGACTTCTCCACCGTTGGAGAGCGACCCTATTGTACATGCATCTCCCACGTCTATCTAAATCCCTTTAAGGCCATTGGATGGCCAGATGCTTTTGTAACATCTCTTTGGTCAACCAACTTTTACGATTGAGCCGGTTTAATTATAAGTATTTTTATTTCTTCGTATTAAAATTTTATTTAAAAAAATGGTATTTTTAATAAATTTCCTCTCTTTTAGAATAATAAATTATTTTATTTTGAAATTAAAAATTTAAGAATAATTTTTATTCTTATTTATATTAATCTTTAAAAAAATTAAAAATATGAGATTTAAATTATAATAATTTTAAATATTAAAAAATATATAATCATTCAATTAATTGATTTTTATAATTTAATATAATTTAAATTACATAATAATTATTTATTTTTCAAAATAAATATCCAATGATGAAAATGATTTAAGTTTGTAAATATCTTAGGATGTGATATAAAATCAGATGTATTTTGTACTTTATAGTAAATGAGACGCGTGAATTCCAAAATACCTTATGTTTTTTATAAAAGACATGGGGAAAAGACCAAGAAAATAAAAGTTCAAAACCCAGCAATCATTTTCCTTTGAAGTTTTTATGCTGACGGTAAGTATGTCTTCTGCAGTTGAACAACGTACGTACTACAGTGATTTTATTCTTCACCACTAAATGATGGTTTTTCTTAATATGTGAAATCTTTAAAAAATAAAAAATAATATTTAATTTATTAATTATTTAATTAAATTTATTTATATGATATTAATTTTAAAATTAATATTTATTTATATAT